CCCTGGGTAGAGTGCCATGGCATTACAGCTCACAGCAACCTCAAACTCTTGGGCTTAAGCGATTCTCTTGCCTCAGCCTCCCAAGTAGTTGGGACTATAGGTACCCGCCACAATGCCTGGCTGTTACTTTTGTTACAGTTGTCATTATTGTTTAGCTGGCTGGGGCCAGGTTCAAACCCACCAGCCTTGGTGTGTGTGGCTGGCACTGTAACCACTGTGCTACGGGTGCCAAGCCTGTACCTTTGTTTTCAATGCAATTATGTCTGGGCTGTTTCCCCAAAGAGCAGAGGTAAGAAGCAGGAGTTGTAGAAGATGGCCCATGGGTGCTGTGGCCTGACAGGAGGGCCCTGCTCCAGCAGACAGTAGCCCTTCTATTAGTCTGATGGGACATGTTCCAGAAAGGTGCAGAAGTGCCAGGGAAGATAAAGAGGCTGTCAGTGGAGAGGGACAGATCCTGAGAGGAGGTTGCTCCAGGCATCTCTATAGGCTGGTGGCCTTGTCTGGGACCTTTTCTCAGAACCTTTCAGAGTAGCGTTCCCCATGAGATCCACCGTAGAAAAAGGGAGGAAGCCACACATGGATTCACCCGTGTCATTGGGTGGTTGGTACCTCAACTGGGGACTTTGGACTGTCTTCTGGTGGCCTGTTTTTTGGCTCTCTGGATCCAGAGGCAGGGACCTAGTGCTGAGCCCTACCAAATTAAGACCCCACTGCAAACATACTGCCAGGCAGCCCTCTGAGCATCTGGTCAACTAGGAACAGAAAAATATGCCAACTCCCATGATCAAGGACATGAACTCTAACCAAAACGGGTATCCTCTTCTCTTTGAGTCCCAATTTTACAAGTTAAAATGAATCTCTTGGGGGGCATCCCATTACCCAGTGGCCATGCTTCTGAGGAAGGTTTGAGCTGACACTACCCAAGTAAATGAAACCCTGGCTTACAAGTGTAATCATATGGGAGTTCCATTCAAAAGGTGAAGAGACTGTACAATGGAGAAGCCACACCTTGCACCAGTTTGTCTTTGGGGCAACTCACATACACAGTGTGTCTAAAGGGAGGCCTACTTGTCATTTGAGGTGCCCCTTCCCCAGCCCCCATCACTGCTTCAGCCCTCCTTGCCAGGGCAGAGACTCACTGTATCTCGGGTCATCTCTGACACTGGAGACTCCTCCTCTGCCACCGAGGAGGAGGTTGTGCTGGAGTCCATTACAGAGCTTGCTGTGGCCTTGGACCAGGACTCTCGGATGGTTCCTAGCTTCTCATCTAGGATCTTTGAGTCCAGGGTGGGCAAAGCCTTGGTGTTGTTTTGCGTCAAGAACTTTTCTGGCCTCTGAGAAGAGAAGGTATAGAGAACCTTCAGACAGGCCATGTCTCTGTGCTTCTCTGCCATAAGTACACCTTCTATGCCCTAAGCATCCCCCACTTACTGCTCAGGAAGCCTTGCATGCCCAGCCCTATATACCCCGTACCAGCTGCTCCTTATTCATTGTGCCCCAACAGCACCATCCTTTCTGTTCCTCCAACAAGCCAAGATCTTTCCTGCCTCAGGGCCTTTGAACATGCTGTTCTCCAGCCAACAGTCTCCTGGATCCTTACATGGTTGTCCCCTTCTCATCATTCAGGTTTCAGCTGAGATGTGATCTTCTCAGAGAAGATCCCTGCCCTTTGCAATAGAGGCTCAATCTATTTGAAGTAACCTCACTTCCCATATCCACATCATCCCATTTTACTCTATTCACATTTTCCCATTTCATTGTGTTCATAGTACTCTACCAGAATGTTAACTTTCAAAAAATGGGTTTACATGTTAAGTGCCTCCCTCCTCCAGTGCCCAAACCAGGGTGTAAGCCCCATGTGAGTGTCTGTCTCATTGTAGGTGTTCAACAAATACTTGTGGAAAGAATAAACAATGCCATCTCTGACTCCCACACTAAGTTGGTAATAGCGTCATCTCTTTGACACCCTTTGCCCTATAGAGTTATTTTCCATTTCATCTCCTCTATTAGTCTCTCTTCTTACCACCCCTTAAACAGGGTCTTTGGTGAGCCTCTACTTCCAAGTTCTTTCCCCCGTTCTTCTTCTCCCTTAGTATGACTATCGCTTTCATCTCTGGGTGTCTAAAATCTAACCCCACTCACAAATACCAGCCCTTGGGGACCTCTTTTTTTTTTTTTTTTTTTGAATTTTATTTATTTATTTTTGCTGTTTTTGTCTGAGGCCGTGTTTGAACCCACCACCTCTGGTATATGGGGCTGGCGCCCTACTCCTCGAGCCACAAGCACCACCCCCCTTGGGGACCTCTTGATGCCTCAGCTCACATTTGCTGCCAGTTTTTCTGGGTTCTTCCTGCCCAGAACTGGTTATCTGTGTTTTTATACTGCTGATTCTAGGCTGGCTTGCTTGCTATTTTTGTTTTTCCTGAAAAAGTTTTAGGTTCCTTATGCTTAAGGGGATGTCTGTGCTCCCTTTGAGGAGAGGTTACTTTAAAGCTCTGTTTGAAATCTGTGGTTATCCCTAAAAGAATCACACAGTCTAGGGGTTTGTCGACATGCCAGTCTCACCCTATGTAATCTGTTGGAATCCCCTCTTGGCCACATAGCAGACAAATGATTCTACTGTCTAGAGTACTGTGCAACAGGCACAGTGCCAAGCAGGACAGATGCCCTGGGGGTTAGAGGTCTGACCTGGAATGACCAGAGTGAGAATGAGTGCAGGTGGGCTTCTCTTTAAGTGGAAACTGTATGAAAATTCACCCAGATGAGCTGGATGGATTGAGACGGGCTCATCTCTTTACAACTGGGATTCTTTAAATGTTTGTTCCTTTATGCCCTTTTCAAATAAAATTTGGTGCACAGAACTCATTAACATGAAACCCTTTTAGGCTGTGTGTGCAGATTAAAGTACAGTCATACAAGTACACAGAGACTTCCAGTCCAGCCTGGGTTCCCCTTCCCCACTGCCCAATCCAGTGGGCACACAAATAGATAATTCCAAAGAAAATCAGGTACAATAAGACTTTCGGAATGGGGAGACGAGCTCTTGGTGCCCCTGAGGCTGATTTTGGCAGGCACCTACTGCACCACATGGTCACAACTTCTGGGCCAGTTCTGTCTGTGGGCATTGGGCCTGGATGTCTCTCCCACCTGGTCTGTTTGGTAGCTCTGATTTAGGGAGGGTAGGATTCACTCAGGGGTTCCCCACTGACATGAATACACCCAGTGCAGCATTTGAGTCAGACAGTTTGGGGTTTTCTGGATGTCTGTGTGTTTCAGATGAAAAAAAGTACATCTGTCTCTTGTTCAGAACAGCTGAACACCCAACTGGCCACAGAGACAGAACTACCAAATGCAAATTAGATGGATAGATGCAGGAGAGAATGAAGAAAAGAATAGCTAGACAGGGCAAAGACCGACTCCCCATTGAGCAGGTGGCCCCTGGGGCTGGGGTGAGATGCTGATTCAGGACCCATAATGACATTTCTTCTCATTTCCAGGCAGAAAGCCAATCTCAATGCCCTGGGTTTCATAGACTGCCATCTAATCCGGTTAGCGGAGGAAGTAGAAGTAATGAAATCAAGGGAGAGGTCTCCAGAGGTGCCTCCATCAGTACTGAAAGCAGGGCCCCTCCCCCACAGGCTGCCTCCATGGTGTCCACTCTGTGTGGTCCCAAACCCAGCTGGGCCAACTCAATGACCCAGAGCTGACATTTCCTGAGTCCCTTGGTCAAGAACTGGGCACTCACTGGGTACCTTTATGTGGACCCTGAACTTTACTATGTATAATTTATTTAATTTTATCACAAAGCTAAAATAAAGATGAGCCCAACCCCTTAGTCCAGACCAGTGCCTTAACCCCATCAGTCTCATGAGCAGGGGATTGTTCTGAGAAGGAGGGAAGCCAGGCAGGGTATCTATAGACTTTAAGTCTATTCTGCCTTTCCCATCCCAGCCAAAAAACTCAGTGGCTCTGCTCTGCTGTGCCCTCCTCTGGGGCAGGCCTGGGTCAAGATCTGCTGCCTCATGCTAGTAGCTCCCACCCTGCAGGTTTCCTGCCCACATTCCCATTCCCCTTTGCCAGGATTCATCTTGGCCTGGGGTTTGGAGGTGAGATGGGTAGGTGAATTTATAGGAAAATATTTAGACCTCTAAACATCACAGATTGTACAAAGGAAGTCCAAGGCAATTGCTTTTGTTACTTAGAATGAGGAATACCAAGAGGACATAGTGCTTCTCACAGGGTCTACATTTTCCTAATAGTTCCCTTTCTTTATGGCCAGCATTGCCTCTCCTGGTTCTCAGCTTCAATTGGCCCATGTTTTGGGGGAGGGGATTATGGTCTCACCTCCTCACTCCTCAAGAAAGAAAGCTTGTCTGAGACCACAAGGAGAGGTCAAGCTGCTGGGGTGGTGATCAGGCTGGAGGAAGGGGAGAGGGAGAAGCCTTGGAGACTAACTCCTCCCCATTCAGTCTCAGCCTGGCCTGGCTTTTCCAGCCCCTCTTTCCTCCATGTGGGGTGGGGGCTCCTGGCCCACCCCACAAGTCTGCTTATTTGCTTTTCTATCTGGTAAGCCTTTCCCCACCTGCTGGGGTGGCTGGGGGCTGACAAGTGGCCCCTGGCTCTGTGGCTCCATGGCTGCAGCATATCTGGCTTCATTAGGCCTGTAATTGGAGACTGACTCTGAAAGCTCAAAGCAATGCATGGCCACGCACTAGCTCAGACTCAGCCCACCATTCCCTATGTTGCTGCAGCTGCCCACACCACGTAGGCGTGCCATGGTAGGGGGAAGATACCACTTCCTCACACCTCTCAGCCTTCACTGTTGACAGCAAAGCAGGGTCTGTTGAGACAGAACAGGTCAATGGCATCACAGGCTTGAGGCTTTTTAAGTCACCTCTTTCCTTCCCCCAACATCCTCTGCCTCCCTCCAACCCACTTCATCCCATAGATCCCTGATCATGCAAAATGCAACAGTTCCAGCCCGCACTGGCAATTATGGACAGGCCAGGCTGCAGCTGCTGTCCTTGGTGCTGAAAGTGCCCACCTTCCAGCCAGCCCGCCTATTGCCCCGCCCCGAGCCTTCTTGCTGGAGCGCACATGCTCTTAATTCAATTAGCTGGCCCTGAACCCTCCCCAGGGAGCCTGGAGAGGAAACTGACAAATTCTGTTTAACAAAGACATTTGTCCCTCGCCCAGCCGGCTATGGGCTCTGCCCGCCTGTATCCCGCTCATTAGGTATCTAACAAAGTGCGTCCCAAGAAATCTGCTTCCAATCTCTAGTAATTCAGGAGGCCTGATGTAATTTTCTCCCTGATAAGGGTCTCTCGCCTGCTGGCAAGCGCTGTAATGAGTCCTGTGCAGCGGTTCCCAGATCAGTCACTGCTTTGTCATTTCCTGTAGCTGCAGTTGTAGGTTCTTATCTCTTCAGCTGTAGGTGAGGCTCAGACAACAGACCCCTCCAAGAGGGCTTACTGCCTCCCCTGAATATGGTGAGCCTCATTTATGGCATCCCTCCTGGTTGTGCAGCTGCAGTGGGGTTTGAAGCTTCGAGTCTGTCTCCCAGCCAAGAAGGATCCAAGTATTAATTCTTTTTTTTTTTTTTTTTTTTGAGACAGAGCCTCAAGCTGTCCACCTGGGCAGAGTGCCGTGGCATTACAGCTCACAGCAACCTCCAGCTTCTGGGCTCAAGCGAGTCTCCTGCCTCCGCTTCCCAAGTAGCTGGGACCACAGGCGCCCACCACAACGCCTGGCTATTTTTTGGTTGCAGCCTTCATTGTTGTTTGGCGGGTCCGGGCTGGGGATTTGAACCCGCCGCCTTAGGTGTACGTGGCTGGCGCCTTAGCCGGTTGAGCTATAGGCGCCGAGCCCCAAGTATTAATTCTTGATGGGGCCATGATTCTTTTGCCAGAATCGGTGTCAGAGAGTTAATCTAAAAGCAAGTTGTGGGGTCAGGGGAGGGGAGCCCTGATAAAGATCTTTAAAAATTCTGCCAGGGATTCTAGTATTTAATAGAGACCTGTCTGTAGCTCAGTGGATGGACTGTGTGCTCACTCTTGTTAACCTGAAACCTGCTCTTTCTGCATTTAATCCTTCCCCTTGGGTTCCCATTATTCACTTTTAGAGAGACTCTTCAAAGAACAGACTATATCTTATGGCTGCTCAAAGACCTTCACGACAAAGTCCAAAGACTGTATCCTGGCATCCAGGCCCTCCGCAACCTAGGTCCCATTTACCTCTCCTGTCTCCCCACCCACTATAGTCCCCACATGTCATGTCCTTTGTACACTGTCATGCTTCTATGCCTTTGCACATGGGGTCCCTTTGCCTGAAACAC